GTAAATATTTTATTTAATTGTAAAATAGTTGGAAATTAGAAAAGTTTAGTATGATTCCTCAGCTTTTAAACGTCTACTCCCGTCAATTGAATTTTTGTTGCTAAGTTTATTATAGGGGTTATTAGTCTTTCAAACAACTTTCAACCTTTCTAGTAGTCGCCCCCTGCACTAGCCATTGTAATTTCCTGTTTTCAATCAATTATAATTTCAAACATTCTAACAATCAATGATCAAGTTATGTTCAATGTATTTCAATTTTATGTTGCAAGCTTTCTTTAAATTGTGATCAAATTTCCTTTCGTCCCAAAACAACTGAGAGAAGACGGAAGGACGGAAGGTAATCTAGCGGAGCAGACTACTGCCGCACGGTATCCCGACTGAGAGAAGACTACTGGGGCACGGTATCCCTTTTTGTGTTAAGAAGAAAGGTAACCCGTGAAAACCATGTGTTACATGGTACTGAAACTAATACTATACTCATGCTTGAGCTCCGAATTTTTATTTTTATATGAAAATGCATTTTGAATTAGTGTTTTAACTTAGAATGTAAGATTAAAAAATGACGAAAAATTTTGAATTTGCATTTATTATTGTTTTATTGAAGAATGTGGTTGAAAATTAAAAATTTTTTTTTAAAAAAAATAATAAGGATTGAATCGTTATATAGGACAAGGGCCTACTATTCCACAGACCCCAACCAATAAGGAATGTACATGGCCCCCGGATGGCCAGGGCCCATATCTTGGCCATGTAACTTTTTCCTAGGAACAGTGTCTGAAAGTGATAAAGATCACAAAAAATGATGCGTACACAGAATCCAATATTATGTGCCCAGAATTTCCCAGTTATCGTACCTTATTCCTGACTCGCTGTAAATGCTCATTAATAGCTGTCAAGGTTCTTGAAAAAGTGAGGAAAAACAAGAAAATTGAGTGCCAATGTCTTCCATTTCTGGGTTCTTGATTGTGAAGCCTGAAAATGGTGGGATTTGGGACCTCTTTAAGTTCTTGGCCATGAATAATCAACAAAGTGTAGCCAAATTTCTTGAAGGTTCCCATGGTAATGGTGGGGTGTTTGAAGAAGAGGTCAATAGTGATAACAGATGGGTGATAGTTGTGTCGATAATAGCGAGGAAAGTTGTAAAGATGTTTGGGAAGCCTCTGGAGTGGACTGGATACCTTGTGGAGTTCATCCTAAACCTTCTCTCTCTCAATGGAAACTTTCTTGGATTGGCCTACAGAATTTTACATGGTAAAATGCTCAACTCTATTCATCCATTTTCCCTTTTTCAGTCTTCAAATTGTTAAATATAGTTGATTAGTAGAATTGTACTGTTTCTATTTGATACTATAGATGTAAACCGGGACAAATAAGCAGAAGTGTATTTAATTTGTGCATAAGTGGATACTTTGCCAGTGCTTCTATGATGTTTACAAACATCTCTAGATATTCGACTATGGTTAATCCTACATACACGGAGGAAGATTTTGTGTCTCTGATGGAAAACAGGTTGATTATTCGGGTGGTCGTGGTTCCATCATTGTTGTGGGTCCTTTACTTTCATTAGTATATGCTTTACTAGGAATCACACAGGGTAGATTAGATATCTTTGGTAAAGTGCTCGCTCGTAACCTGGCAGATTGCGCAGTCCAAGAATTGACGACTTAACCCGTTGGATGTTGCCAAAATGGGTACTGTATGGTCATGTGAGTTCAATAATAGACGTGTTCTCCTTTCAGGGCCTATCCAAAAGAGAATTTAGTACTTCTGATTATACATTTGCGTCCAAGATTCGGACTATTAGAGGTTGCATTGGACTTTGACTCTACATTAGCATAGGATTTCTATAGGTTCTTTACAACTTATAAAAGTGCTTCTTTTGCTTTATATCACAAAAATTCCATGAATCTTGATTTCTACTAATCCTCACCCTATCTTAAAATGAATATATTTTTTATTTATGGAGTGTGACAATATTCTTCCACAGCCATATTTGTAGTAGAAACAACACCATAATACTGACCTATGCAGAAAATATTAAGTTTTGATAGTTTGAAATTTCGAAAAGTGATATGTTAGTAAAAGTGTGATTCCAAACTAGTAATTAAATAACTAAGAACAATTTTAAAGAATTGAGTACAATTATAGTGAAAAAAGTATCACATAGCATGTTTGAGATTACAAAGACTTCTTATTATTTCATCTATCAAATGTGGTATTTGAACAAGTTAAGTTTATACGTTTCACATCTCACCAGTATTACCATGTAATTCCGGTTTATTATTATATCTATATCATTACACTTTTCATTGCAATCAACATGAAAATAAAAATTGAGAATCTCATTGTTCGCTTCGTGTTACAAGGAATTCTTACAGTCCAAGTTGTTTATGAGAATATTTTGCTGCTTTTGAACTATTGATATCTTGCATTCCTACAAAATTTTATGTACATGACATTAAATTGGCTCAGTATGTCTCAGTTATTTCATAAATGCAATGAACAGGAGACGTCGTGATACCACAAAGAGGCTCGGAAACATTTATAAGTGCAGTTGGACATTTAGATGGGCGAATAGATCTGTACAAGAGTGATATGTTGCTTAAAGATTTCAATGAACCTGATATTCTTAACAATCTTTTGAAACCAGAAAAGGGAAATCAGGCTCTTCTTGACCTGTGCATAATGGCTTCAAAATTAGCCTACGAGAATGCTAAGGTCGTTAGAAATGTCGTAAATCTTCACTGGAAGGTAAGCTTTCTGTATTTTTCTTCTTTCTCAATAATTGATTGAATGCATGTGATCCATACCAAATATTAATCATTTTAATTTCCCATATTGGAAAAGCAGATGCATTTTGTGGATTTCTACAACTGTTGGAATGGTAAGAATTTCACTTCAGATGTTAGTAGAAGCATATTTTCCACTTTCTTGTTTGTTCCTAAATAATCCGTTCGGGTGCTTATCCTTTGTGTTGCAAAATATCAGAAAGAAGAGTCGACTCAAGTTTTCATACTATGTGATAAGCCAAAAGATGCAAATCTGATATTAATCAGCTTTCGAGGCACATAACCATTCGATGCTGATGATTGGATTACGGATTTTGACTACTCTTGGTACGAGATACCGGAACTAGGTAAAGTGCATATGGGGTTCTTAGAGTCCTTAGGTTTGGGCACTAGAAAGAATACCTCGACATTCCAAGAAAATCTCCAAGTAAAAAATGTTAATTCTGGTAATTTGAATGGTCTTTATGCAAGTAATCCCTCTTCTGAAGATTATAAATTGTCTACCTCTAATCAACAAGGTGGTTTGGACCAGTCTTCTGACAAGAAGCTCCTTCTAGTGATGGGAGAGAGGACTGCATATTATTTCGTGAAAAGTAAACTCAAAAGCTTACTAAAGGAACATAAGAACGCAAAATTTGTTGTCACAGGGCATAGTTTGGGAGGAGCACTGGCCATATTGTTTCCAACAGTGCTAATTCTTCATGAGGAGGACGAGGTCATGCAATGGTTGTTAGGTGTGTACACGTATGGACAGCTGAGGGTTGGTAACAGGCAGTTAGGGAGGTTTATGGAATCACGTCTAGAGTATCCCGATCCGAAGTACTTCAGGGTAGTGTATTGCAATGATATTGTTCCAAGGTTACCTTATGACAATAAAACCTTCTTGTATAAGCATTTTGGGATATGCCTATACTACAACAGCCTCTACATTGAACATGTAAGATTTTTCTGTTTGTTCACAATTTCTTTGGTTCGCCCTAGTTGTCCATGGTCTTTTCTGTCATCAGGTATCATATCAGTTAAATGATAATAAAATTATACACGTAGAGTTTCATTATTTTTCCCATTTGGGTGCTCCTGTGCAGAAAGTTGATGAAGAACCAAACCCAAATTACTTTGGGATTCGATTCCTGATACCTGAATATATGAATGTTGTGTGGGAACTATTTAGGAGTTTGATCATAGGTCACATGCATGGGCTAGAGTATAAGGAATGCTGGGAATCGACTCTATTGAGGATTGTAGGACTAGCAATCCCTGGTCTCTCGGCTCACAGCCCAGTAGATTATGTAAACTCTGTACGGCTTGGAAGAATGGATCAGTTCAGATAAGTTCCTTATAATTTACTCCATCTTTCATACTCAAAGTTAAATGCAGTATGGTAAAGTGATCTCGATTTGGATTTACAAGCAATGTAATCACCATATACAAATGTTGACACATGTTTATATGTTGCTCTTTTGAGGAATTCTGTATTGTTTCAGTTCTTTCCTTTTGGATTAGTGTTTTCCCAGGGCAATATGGCATGTAAATTCACTGATGTGCTGGATTTGTAGTTAGTTAGTAAGGTCTCCCGTCATACTTCATCGTTTTGTGTTTCAACAGAAGTTCCCTTTTCGTTTCATGAGAGTTTGGTCATTTTTAATATTGAAAAACTGTATACCCAGCGAACCTTCTTGACTAGGATTTTCTCCTTTGTCGGAACAATCAGAAAGCATTTAAACTTTTTCTGTGGCTGCAGCAATGCAGAACATTAGGCAAAAAGGTGAAGACCTTTTTTCAGATATTCTTCAGATGAAAAAATTGACACAATTTAGCAATTTTAGAAACTAATACAACAGGTATAATGGAAAAGTATTTTCTCTACATTACGTGGCTTTTATTGCCTAAGATCTGCTTAACTATGGCACAGAGATTGTGCAACAGAATCATATCATGCTGCATGTTAACTGCTTTATTAGTTTGCCTTCAGTACAAAATTGTATGAAACAGTTACCTTTTTGTTGTCGTTTTAAACTGTATGACTAGCTTGGATCTTACTGAGGTCCAAGTTTTTGAACCTTCCTACTGATTCTGTATGTCCTTTCAGTATGCAACTCTCCATGTTTGTAGAGGGTACCATATTTTTTGCAAGTTTTAGGAGATTCAAACAAGAAATTCATTGAAATTATTGAGAACAATATATGAATGAGAGGAAGATTAATTTGCTCCAGTCAGTTAAGAAACCTGGCAATTTCAGCACGACGCCATGCCTGTTCAGCATTTACAAAAGATCCTTCTCCTATTTTTCTTGAACTCTGTTGATTGCAACCCTTGTAGAGTTCTCTGAGAAAGCGCCCACCTAGCCATCCTGTCTTCCTTTCCGTAATCCCTTTGAGAGGCACAAGCAGTCTATCGAAAATAGTTAGTAAAACAGACAGCATTTAATTGTTTTTAACTAAGAAATTTCATCTAGATTTAACAAAAATTCAACTTTGCTCTGACATTCCTACCAAACAAGATTGACATATTAAAGTGGAAAAAATAGTTCTGTTGATAAAAAATTGTCTTCCTCGGTGGGGGATGGGGCAGGGTTGGGTAATGGCAACGTTGAAATTGTCAAATTTGACATCTAGCCTCAATTGATATACCACTCCAACCTCCGTTGACATCCTTCAATCCAATGATGTTGAAGGACCTCCATTGATCGCACATAAGCTACAAGTCTGTCGCCTCAGCCCAGAACGAGTATCCAGGCTTCATCAGTAAAAAGCACAATGAACTATGAGTTTGATAATATCCAGAGCAACATAAAAGACGACTATATAGCAATATAACCCCTGAGCAGCCCCATTCAATGCCTCTAATTGGAGCAAAGCTAACATTTGAGTAGATTGCAACGTGTAGCACTCTTCAAGTGGGAAAAAAACATTAAATCCATCAATTTCTTGTACAAATCTTGTACTTCATTGTCCTACTGCTATTGATGTTCAAGGTTTTCCAAGCCAATGGGCGAAAAATCATGAAGGAAGATGGAGTGGAATCATTAAGAGTGTTGACCTCGAAAAATGACCCAAACAAACGTGGCCAACATGATATAAATTCCAAGTAAGCTCATTCCTGCACGTGGTAACACACTGTTAGTCGTCCGTGTCCTTTTTCGGTAGGGGTGGAAGTGACCGTGAGCACTCCGGCGGTCAAATTAGTGAATTGGTAAACCAGAGTTGGGATGTCCGGCGGTGATGATGATCATCGGAACGTGGCTATCAAGGTAAATGTGCGTACGGACATGGTTAATGCAAAAATCCTGTGTTATTTTCTCTCCTAAAGAACTACCTTTTTCCGTAGTGTAGGTATGGGTATTTAAGATGAAAGGAAGTAAGAGAAGAACAGTTAGATGTGGAGCATGTGGCTTTGAATTTAAGATGGACTGTCCTTTCATAAGTGTCAATCCATAGATGGCCAGTTTAATTAATGCTCATTGACATAGTAGTTCGTGACTTGACATTTTAGAGTTTGCCATACGTCCCATCTATCAGTTTTAAGGATTTGATTCTTGAGATCATTAGATAAAAGATTTACTAGTACACAGGGTTGAAATGGAGTGTTTTGCAGTAGGAGCGGTAATCGTGTTCTGGGTCTCATCACTTCGGACTTAGTTTCAGTTAGCAATATTGGTTAGTTCGTTTCAGGTTTGGCAAAGTGATGCGGAGTACGGGTCTTAGACGGATGGATTTCGTTTGTCCATCACGTGACGGATGAATTCAGTATGTTCGTTACGTGGCGGATGAATTCAGTTCGTCTGCCACATGGTGGATGAATTCGGTTTGTTTGTCCATGTCATCTGGCACATGGTGGATGACATGGAAGATGACGTGGAGGCCTGTAGCAATAGTCCCTCAAGTTCGTGTATGGATATTCATATAATGCATGAACTTTGTCAATGTGGCCATGTTAAAAGAGTATTACTTTTATGGAGGCATAGGCATTGGTGGTAGTTTCTTAGCAGAAGGATGAAGCACTAAGTGATTGGAACTTTTGAGGAAATTTGTGGTAGAGGCGAAGTCCTAGTAGAAGGATGAAGCCCTGAGCGATTGCAACTTTTTAGACCTGCGCTCATATGGGCTAGTTCCGACTTAATTCCATTTGAACTCTTGGGGGCAGATGGTTGGGTCATGGATGCTATGGCGTAAAGCCAGCCTGGCGTCGATATGCCCTTCAATGTTTTCCATTCTTTGTACTTCCCCAAAAAATTATCGGAAGTAACAAAAGTAAGGGGTGGTACCACTTGACTCCATAGGGTTCTCATTCCTCCTTCATGGTGGACATGCCCTCATCTGTAAAGAAGTGAAGGAGATCGTGGTTTTGGGTGTCTAGGAGGTGGGACACCATGGAGGATGAACCTATGGCTTCTTTCACAGTTCCAACTACTTACTCTCTGTCAGTAAATTCTTCTGCCTAATTGTCCGAACTTAACAATGCATTCTTATCACTTAATACTTCATTTGTGTGAGATTTTTACCGAGCAGTAGGATATTATTAGCTGCATCTATCAGCAATCACCCAAAGACCGGAGCTACAATGAGTAAGAACACACACTTCACCTTAAACAGACCGATGACATCCAAGGGTGAGTTATCTGTACTTTCAAATTCATCTAATGGCCTACTTGAATGTACTAACACTTTTTTTTACAGACAATTTTCTGAAGAAGAAACCGTTGAGGTCGGATTTTGCCACAATCCGTCGAAGCGTGGTTGAGGCGAAGGCATTGAAGACCATGGCCAAACCACCTGCACCTCCTTTTATCCTTACCAGGGTGGTTAAGGAAACTACCTTTGAGGCGCTGTGGATGTGGTGGTGAAGAAAACTTCCATGTCAGATCTTGTCGGCCAACCAATGGAATTACTTCGAAAAAGGTCGATGAAACCCCCTCATCTTAGCAAGGTATCTGACTTTATTGGGAGTATGGGATATGAGCTCTCTGAGGTAGTTCTTGAGATGTTATCTCTCGAAATCGCCTCAGCCGCACAGGTTCACAATAAATTTTGGACTGAGGAATGGTAGAATTACGTCAGCTTCTGTGAGGTTGAGGATTTACTGGCTGCCAACAATGCTTGCATGGCCTGCGCACAAGTATAGGCTCTACGGTGGAGGATTTGGTTTGGAGTCTCCGCCAAAGAAATGAGGAATTGAACCAAATGTTAGACCTCGGAGAAATGGGAAGAAAAGGTTAGAAGGGCCAAAAGCGAGATAGAAGAGGCTGAAATAAAAAGAACTGAGGCTGATATTGGATGCTCTTGAGATACAAATGAACCAACTGAAGAATGAACTTCATGAGTCTGTTTCTCAAGTGGCAGCCTTGACTAAGTGGCTTGATCAATCCAATGAACATCGACATATCGCCTCTGAGGCATTGGAGGAGGGCTAACAGGGATAAAGCCGGGTTGAGGATGTTAATTGAAGCCCAAAAGGAGAAGATAGAATCTACGAAAGCTGAAGTGAAGACAGTGGGCGAGGTGTCAGTGAAGAACTACATCGACACTTCGATCAAATGAAGGAGTATGATGACTTTGCCAACTACTGAGCTTCATGGAGTGCCCAACAATGCTAGCTCGTCTTAGGGAGGTTCATCCAGGACTAGACATTGGCTTCCTCGAGGATGAGTTAGACGGACTTACTGAAGGTCGTCTTTATGCCGAAGCCGAAGAAAAAGCCCCTCAAGAGAAAATGGGGGTTTGGCCTATCGTAGTTGTAGATCCTTGATCATTTTTTTTTCACTGTAATGGCTTCGGCCTTGATGAATTTTAGTGAATGTAGTCACATCTTTTTCTTAACAACCGAGACTTATGTAATCACCTTGCTTTAAATGAACGAAACATGTAAACACCTCGCTCAAACGAATGAAATTTAAGTGTAACCAAACGAATGAACAATGTAGACACCTCACTCAAACTTACGAACAAGTGTAAACACCTTGCTTAAACGAATGAAATTTAAGTGTAAACACCTCGCTTAAATGAATGGAGCAAGTGTAAACACCTTGCTCTAACGTTTAAACAAGCGTAAATTCCAGTAGGGAACGTTACTCACCTTTCTTAGCGAAGTGAATATACTTAACAGAGGTGGCCCTTTTTCATCTCTTGACGGGCGTTCTTCATGGCCAATGGTTCATCCATGCACATCACCTCCTTCGAAGGGCAAATGTGGCGACCCCAGTTGTGGCGTCACGCGCCTCTTCTAACGAAGTGGATCCTTGACAGAGGCGTGGGAGGCATTACGCACCTCTTCAAGGGCGTTCTCCACGGTGGATGGTGCATCCTTGGAGAGTATCACTTTCAAAGGGAAAATGATTCTACCCCAGTGGAGGCGTCACTCGCTTCTCTTAATGAAGTGGACATCCTTGACAGAGGTGGCTATGTAGGAGGCATCACGCACCTCTTCATGGGTGTTCTCTACGGTGGATGGTGTATTCATGGAGAACATCACTTTCGAAGGGCAAATGAGGCGACCCCAGTGGAGGCGCCACACGCCTCTTTGAACGAAGTGAACATTCTTGATAGATGTGGCCCCATGGGAGGCATCACGTACCTCTTCAAGGGCATTCTCTACGGTAGATGGTGCATTCATGCAGAACATCACTTTTGAAGGGCAAATGAGGCTACCCCAATGAGGGCGTCACACGTCTCCCCTATCGAAGTGGACATTCTTGACAGAGGTGGCCATGTAGGAAGCGTCATGTACCTCTTTAAGGGCATTCTCCACGGTGGATGGTGCATCCGTGGAGAGCAACACTTGCGAAGGGAAAATGAGGCGATCTTAGTTGGGATGTCACATGCCTCTATTAACGAAGTCAACATCATTGACAATGGTGGCCCTGTGGGAGGCATCACACATGGTGTTTCCGTCGAGAGCATCGTTTTTGAAGGGCAAATGAGGCAACCCCAGTGGGGGTATCCCACGTCTCTCTTAACGAAGTGGACATCCTTGATAGTGATGGCCCCATGGGAGGCGTCACACACTTTTTCAAGGGTGTTCTCCACGGTGGATGGTGCACCCGTGGAGAGCATCACTTTCGAAGGGCAAATGAGGTAACCCCAGTGGGGGCATCACACGCCTCTCCTAACGAAGTGGACATCCTTGACAGCAGTGACCCCGTGGGAGGCATCACGCACCTCTTTGAGGGTGTTCTCCACGGTGGATGATACATCTGTGGAGTACATCTCTTTCGAAGGGCAAATGAGGTGATCCCAGTGGGGGCGTCATGTGCTTCTCCTAACGAAGTGAACATCTTTGATAGAGATGGCCCATGGGACGCATCACGCACCTCTTTAAGGCATTCTTTACGGTGGATAGTGCATTTGTGGAGATCATCACTTTCGAAGGGCAAATGAGGCGACCCTAGTCGGGGCGTTATGTGAGGAAAAATAGAGAAGTGACAACT